TCTCCTGCTCCTGATTTGGACCTTGAGATTTCAGTCCGGTGCTCCATTGTGGGTCTCTGTCTCTGTCTCCTTTCATCGCCTGATGAAAGTTAATATTCAGGAGGATCCTTCTTATGTAGCTTCTCTAAGAACCCGAATTATACATGCCAGGCATTTTTATGTGGGCTCTAAGGAGCAAACTCGAGTCCTCATGCTTGCATGGTAGGCTTTTAGCAGCTGAGTTCTTTTCCCAGCCCTCCTCCGGCCTTTTGTTCTCTAAATCTAGTAGTCTACACCTTGCCAGCCGGCAGGGAGATTGGACAGATGTCCTTGTCTTTGCCGATAGCCCTACAAGAGACACTGACTGGGCGGGAGGGCACTGGAGGAGAGACCTGTGAATCAGTTACTACTGGGACATTATCTAAAGGAAATTCTTTCTCTAGCTGCACTGGAGTGAGCCTTGCTGGAGCAAAGATCAGAAAAGGGAATTTCTTTTTCGAGGTCACACTCATAAGCCCCTATAAAAGCAATGGGGCCTCGTGTCAATTCAACTATCCTAGGTTTCATTTTCGATGCACTCCAGTCAGCTAGACCGTGCTTTTAGTAACTAACTGCCTGTAATTCCAGCACAAAGGACCTGAGGCCAGCCTGGACTAAGTTCCCAGCCAGTATGCAGTACATAGTGAGACCCTGTCTGAACTTTTTTAAGAGCCTGACTATAAAGTAGCGGATTGCTATAGAGCATGTGCATGCTTGTGTGGGTGTGTGCAAGTTTGTGCAGATGTGGAAGCACTTGGATGTGTGCATGTGAAGGTCAGAGATCTTCCTACGCCTCTAGGTGGGGGCAGGGCGGGAGGGTGTGTATACATCTGCACAGGAGCACCCACCTGCCCTGTACACGTGCGGACAGAAATCAGAAGTCAGAAGTAGACACCAAGTGTCTTCCTCTGTCACGCTCCACTTCGTGTATTTATTTCTCAACATAGGGTCGCACACTGAATCTGGAGTGTACAGCTTCAACTGGAATCCTGCCTGCACCCACCCCACCCAGTGCCCTGATTATGGAAGTGCACCACAGCACCCACCTTTTACATGGGGGCTCGGGCTTGCTCAGCAATCTTTACCAACTGAGCCATTTCCCAAACCCTTTACCTTAGTTTTTGAGAGACTCTCTCTCACTGAACTGGAATTCACTAACAAGGCTAGGCTGACTTGCCTAGAAGCCTTGGGGAGCCACCTGCCTCCACTTCCCCAGTGCTGGGATTACAAGCATTTGCAAACACATCTATCATTTTATATGGTTTCGGGCTACCAAACTCAGGTTCTCATTCTTTACCCACAAACCTATTTCACCAGCCCCATGAATGCTTTTAGAAGGCAAATTTGCCTTCTCACACCTTCTATTTATTCGTATCCTCTCTCCATCCCTTTCCCTTCTATCCTCTCACCCCTCCCTCTTCCGCCCTTCCCTCTCTCTCCCACCCCCAACTCCCCAATAGTAGTAGGAGTTAAACCCCAGGATTTCTGACTAAGGATATACATAGTAGAGTTCTTACCTAGTGTGTACAAGTCTCTGACTCAATTTCCTTCACCACATAAGCCCAGGCCTGGTATAATCCCAGCTCTAAGAAGTTAGAGGCAGGAGGACCAGAAGTTTAAGGTCATACTCAGTTGTGTATCCACCTCTTCAGAGTCATGAGACACTGTCTCAGAGAGAGAAGAGAGAGGAGAAAGGAAAGACTGAGGGGGAGAGGGAGGGAGAGAGAAAATGTCTCACACACACTAGGACTGTAGCCTCAACCCAAATTCACTGTGTAGTCAAAGCTACGTTTCTCTGTAGCTTTGGAGTCTATCTTGGAACTAGCTCTTGTAGGCCAATCTGGTCTCGAACTCACAGAGATCCACCTGCCTCTGCTTCCCGAGTGCCACCTGGCCCAAAGTTGGTCTTGAATTCTTGATCCTCCTGCCTCCACCTGCTAACTGCTGGGAATATAATAATAAACCACCATGACTGGCTTTATGTATATGCCTTGATAAAATTTTAGCTGAATTTTTTTTTAATCTCAGGGGAAATATTAACTACTCCATATTCTCATTCTGATTAGAGACTACAAAAACTAGTTCCAATTGCTCCATCCAAATGTTCCTTATTAGGTCAGTCTTAGTAATGGGGAAATTTAAGAGGATGCATACGTTGAAACTTGTTGAAGATTTTAGGAAAATGAAAAGTACTTCATAAATTGCTAACCTCTTTTCCCTCTTATAATTAATAGAAATATTTCAGCAAAAATAATACAGAAGGCCTGGTTCATTTATGCGGACAAAACATTGTTTAAACTCCTAAAACACACAGTTTGTGCAGCGGTAGGTGGTTTTTTTTCCCCTCTGGCAGCTATTTCTTAACTAATTACAGAGAGAACAAATAACCCTAGTTATCTCTTTGACTTAGATATAGTAATATTGTGTAAAGTTATAAAATTGCTTCTTTCATTAATCTTAATGACTATTTCCGGTTGATTGTTTTAGATCTATTTATTTTTATTTTATTTATGTGTATGAATGCCTTCCAGTTCATCTGTGCACCTAGGCATGCAATGCCTGTAGAGACCAGAGAGGGCATTGGATTCCCCGGGACTGGGGCGTGAAAGACATTTGTAATGTGAGCATTAGGAATCAAATCTGGCTCCTCTGAAAGATCAGTCAGGATGTTTAACTTCGGAGCCATCTCTCCAGCCCTCTGGATTTATTTTCAATATGAATGAGTGTTACTATTTTTCTGAAATTATTGCAGTTGTATTTTAGTTGTTTTTAATTCAAATCTAACCATTAAATCTCTGAATTAAGAACTGGGGGGTGTAAGCCAGGCAATGGTGGCGCAAACCTTTAATCCCAGCACTCTGGAGACAGAGGCAGGCGGATCGCCAAGTTTGAGACCAGCCTGACTTACAGAGTGAGTTCCAGGACAGCCAGGGCAACAGAGAAACCCTGTTTCAGAGAAAGAACAAAAAAAAGAAGAAGAACTAGGGGTGTAGCTCAGTGGTAGAATGTGTATTATCATGTGTGAAACCCTGGGTTTGATCCCCAACACTTCAGGGAAAAAAAAAAAACCCTGAATTTAAAAATGCACTTTTACCCAGCAGTTTCACTTCTTTTTTTAAAAAAGAGTTTATTTATTATACGTGTGTGTATGTACATGAGCCTGAGTGAGTTTATGTGCATGGAAGATCCTGCAGAGGTCAGAAGAGGGCATAAGATCCCCTGGAACTGGAGTTACAAGCAGTTTGTGAGCCGCTGGGTGAGTGCTGAGAAGCAAAGCACTGAGCCATCACCAGCAGTTTCACTTCTAGGAGCACATTCTACAATATCATTTCATTGCAGCATTGGTTCATGGAAGAAAGGAAATGCCTCTGCCTTCACGTGTAGAGCTTGCAGTATTAACACGAGTCTACAAATACAAAGATAACCAAGACAGCTTGTTAGTGAAAAGGGCAAGTCAGAGTGGTATGAGGGATATGATCCTATTTAAATAAAAATCACAGATGCCCATCCTCCTTCCCTGAAAAAAAAAAAAAGAAACCCTGGAAACTCAGCAGAGTATTAAGCCTTGCTTAAAGTAATCTGCTATCTTCTGATATTCTCATTAGAGGAGTTTTGCAGCCCTGAGAAAGTTTGAGCAATATGTATACTTCTTCACTACCTTACCCACAGACCTATATGTATTACCATACAGAACTCATTTTTAATTATTGTGTTACTGATTTCTCATAATTTCAGTAAATAAATGAAGTTAATAAGCTAATTTTTTTACATCTTTGTTCCAGTGCTTCACAGTAATACTTCACATTAATAATGCCTTATCTTAGCCAGGCTGCAGTGGTGCATGCCTTTAATCCCAGCCCTCTGGAGGCAGAGGCAGGGAGATCTCTAAGTTCAAGGCCAGCCTGGTCTACAGAGTGAGTTCCAGGATGGCCAGGGCTACACAAAGAAATCCTGTCTCAAAAAAATAAAAACAAGGAAAAATGCTTTATCTTGTTAAAAATATTATTATTGTACATTTTATGGAATTATCACAGGCATAAAATTGAATAGAGTCATTTAAGGAAAAGAATGGCAATTTTAGAGTCAAAAAATCTAAGTTTGAGACCTAGCTTTCTCATCTATGAACTGAGTGATAATATTCTTAGGATTAAATGAGGAGATAGATAATATTCTTAGGATTAAATGAGGAGATAGATAATATTCTCAATTAATTAATATTCTTAATAAGGAGATAGATAATATTCTTAGGACTAAATGAGGAGATAGATAATATTCTTAATTAATTAATATTCTTAATAAGGAGATAGATAATATTCTTAGGATTAAATGAGGAGATAGGTAGATAAATAATAAATGAGAGAGAGAGAGAGAGAGAGAGAGAGAGAGAGAGATAGGTAGAGATAGATAGATGACTATGATACCACCATATTATATGGTAAATAAAAGGTACTTAAAAATTAGTCACTTAATACCATTATCATCCCCATATTACCATGATTCATTTAACATTAAACACTTGTTAAGTTTCTTGTGTGTTTCAGGGTACTGTATTAGATGCTAGGAATAATAACAAAGAAGAAAGATGCTGTCTCTACCTATGTGACGCTTATAATCTAGTTGGAGATATGGATAAGTCTATAGATAAATTCAATAGATTGCAAGAAAGTGTTTTCATAGGGATCTCAAATGCCTGCGATCTCAAAAGGCGTGGATACTCACATTTGGAGACCCCTGAGTTGAAATAACGGGCGAAAGGCTGCATAGACGGTAAATTGAGGAGTCAAGAGTAGAAATTCACCTCTTTAGAGCCCTGCGCTCAGGCTTCATTTCACTATGCTTCCAATGTTTTTGTTGTTGTCGTTTTGTTTTCTGGGCTCTTCTGGAGCTTGCTCTGTAGACCAGGCTAGCCTCTAAGTGACAGAGATCCACCTGCCTCTACCTCTTTGAGTGCTGGAATTAAAGGTGTGTGCCTCCACCATGAGGCTGCTTCCATTTTCGTAATCAGTAAATGACATCTGGACAGGGTACCACTTTCTGTTTATAGTGTTGTCCTCTATTTCAGGAATATTGTGTGGCACACGAACTGCTGACGAGAGTGAGCCCCGTAGAGGCTGCACTTGTTAAAGATCCTAGCATGAAGTGTAAAGTCAGATTCAGGTAATGTAACTATGCTCATTTATTTTCAGAGAAGAAATAATAGAAATGATTTTTTAATACTGATTATTTTTCACTGATTATATTTAAAAGTAAGTATTTCCCTGTTTGCATTTGTTATGTAAAAAGGCTAAGACATGACTCTGGCTATAAATTGACATAAGGTCTCACCACCATGTGACCATTCTTTGCTTGATCTTTATATGCAAATGGCCATTTCTCTCCCACCTACCAGTTCCCAAATAACACTCAAAGGCTTAATATTGCTTATAAATACTTGACTGATGGCTAAGGCTTATTATTAGCTCTTACATTTAAATTAACCCGTATTTTTTAATCTATGCTTTGCCATGTGGTTGTGGCTTGCTACCTCATTTTTTATGTGTCTTGCTTCCTCCATGCGGGGCTGATGTCTCCAAAACTCTGCCCTTTTTCTCCTGTAGTTCTGATTGGATTTCCTGCCTGGCTCTATTCTGCCTTGCCATGGGCCAAACAGCTTTATTTATCAACCAATGTGGGCAACATATATTCACAGCGTACAGGGAGACCATCCCACAGCATTTATATATTCTTTCTATGCCCTATATTTGAAAAACTATATGAGCTGTGCTAAGTACATGAGGAAAAAGCAATGGATCCCCACAACTGATGTCATATCACTAATTTTTTATCTTTATTTCAGATTTGGTGGTGAAACGTTTCCACCTTTTATCGTGTTCAAAATTTTTTTTAAAAACGATGGCCATGGTTACAAGTATTTCAGTGGGAAAGATTTACTAAAGCCGTCAAGTAAGGTGATGTTTCATGATGGATGTTTTATATTAATATTGCTTTGTAACATCTATATGATATCTAAATTGCATTCCAAGTATACAGGCTACATTATTTTGCTATTAGTCAGCCCACCAAGCTTATTCCTAAGCACCATATTTCAGAGTGTCTCCACTAAAAACAAACATGAAATGTAGTACTTATATGGAGCTCCAGAAAAATATCTTATCAGCTTTCTTTGCATTAAAACTTGAAATTCTGGCGAGGCAGAGGCAGGCACACCTGTGAGTTCAAGGCCAGTCTGGTCTACGGAGCAAGTTCCAAAAACCAAATATTACAGTATAATACATATTGGTTTATTGAGACAGGGTTTCTCTGTGTAGCCCTGGCTATCCTGGAACTTGCTCAGTAGACCAGGCTGGCCTCGAACTCACAGAGATCTCCCTGCCTCTGTCTCCCAAGTGCTGGGATTAAAGGTGTGTAATCACTTCGGGCATGAGAAGTATATTTTCATCTTACTCTTGAGGGATAAATTCATGTCATGTTCATCGTTAGATTAAGATGAGGTTGTTTCTATAAAATACCATCGATCGTTTCTATTGTAAGATTATATAATCAGACTTTTCCAGGAACTGAAATTCTCCTGGGTCAATCCCACTGTCCCCGTTGTTAGGGTTAAGAAAATGACAACCTCAAAAGGAAGAAGTCACTCAAAAACAGTATTTAAACATTAAAACATGGTATAATAACTTCATTAATTTTTTGTTTATTCGTGAAGTAAATGTTGCAGGGGGAGGAAATAGCCCAGTGATATAAAAAAGGAAATGTGGCTTCCCTTTTCTCCAGCATCCTGTAAGCTTCATCACATGCCTTGCTGTGTCTCTGCCATCCACCTGTCTGAGAACCTGCTAACAGACAGTAGGAAGATATCTGGGTTTTAGAAAACCCCAAATCAGCAAACCCGAGGAAGACTGACAAGACTCCAAAATGATGGCTCACCCTTACATGAAAACTTTTCCTAACAAAAACATTGAAATTCAAAATTTACAGAATCTGAGAATGCCAAGGGTACAGAAAGTCCCCCCACCAGTAGAGAATCCCGGGATGAAATGCATAAACTGTGGGGCCTTTGGACACACTTTAAATAGCAGTAAGTGCCCTATGAAGACCTGGGATGGTGCCATGGTCCCACTGCCCTTGGGCTTTAAGGAGAGCCAGAACCCACAAAAGCTAAAGTATTTTTGGGGTCCTGACCCAAGTAATGAGACAGAGAGAGAGAGAAAAGACAGAGAAAGACAAGAGAAGCAAAGGGGGGCTCTCCTGCTTAAATTTCCCAAGAAGCCCCCAAAGAGGAGGGTGCCGTGTTGGAAGGATTTGGCACCTGTTGGTAACCATCTGAGGCGTCCAAGCAGACCAACATTTATCCATATAAAGAGGAGATCATCCGCGAAGTCCACTCAAACTAATCTGGCGTCAGTCAAGAAATCTGATGAGGAACACGTGTGTGATACAGCACCTTCCACAGAAGACACTAATATCTTACCTCTTAAGGAAGAGAAATGTCAGACCTTGGAGGTCCCTAACATGCCACAAACAGCATTTGGGCACAGTGGTGAGAACCCAGCTTTCAGTGAGAATCCAGCAGACCAAAGCACAAAGGATTGCTTCCATCAAGTTCCCCAGGCTGCTTCCAAAGTGCAGGAGATGGGCCACATGCTGAACACCCAGTCACTAGCCCAGTGTTCCGATGAAGATAAACACCCCTGTGTGTACTCCGCCGCACATCCAGATAGCCAGCACGCTGAACTCAGCCTCGAGGCAACCTATGAGGGAAATCTCCAGTTCCCCAGCCAGATTATCCAAAATCCTCAGGAGAAATGGCAAATAAACTTACTTCAGAAAGAGCAGAAGCCTATGTTGGAGGCTTTTCATGATGTGCCATGTTCTAGTGCCAGTCAAATTGACCCAAAAGGGTTACCTCAAGTGACCAGTGTTGGACAACAGCCTCCACCCAGCGGAGCTTTCCTGAATTTCTCCCACTCTTTCACTGAGTCCTGTTATACAAAGTCCAACCACGTTCCAGTCGAACCTGTCCGAATGGTCTTCACTAGATTGAGAACCGGCTACTGGAGCTCCAAGATCTTGGAAGCTTCCTCATCCCATCCTCCTGAAAAGAAAATGTCTCCGGATAGGATCTCGCCTACCCTGAAGCACTCTAAAGGTTCCGCTAAGCATCTTCATAAATACCCTTCCAGCCTCTCCGTTGAGGAGAGGAAATGAGGAGATCACATCAGAAGAAACTCTCTCCAGTCTCCAAGGGACTTGTGGAGGACTGTTTGAAGGAGGAGAGAGTAGAGGAAGCTGACTGAGCCAGTTGAGTGATGTCCTTGGGACCGTGAAGCTTAGGAACTAGGGGTATCCCATCAACTGAACAACGGAAGTATCATTCAGAGCATAAAAAACTGCACTTCAGATGGAGTTTGCGAAGGGAAAATGTTAAGGAGTCTCACATGAAATCTGTAAGAACTTGAGTTGGTATGTACATGTGTTTATTCACACATAAGTAGAAAGCCAGAATTAAGCTGTTGAGCGTCCAAATGTGTGTATTAGTAGAAAGTCTGGATGGCTGTAGGACTTACATCTTCATCCTGACCTTAGAAAGGCGCTCTTGACTCTCACCGTGTGTAGGCAGAAGCTGGCGTGAAGAAAGCTCTCTTGCACTTACACAGGCTCTTTAATGACTTGTAAATATGTTTTAGAAATACGTTTCAGTGTTATTTTATTAAAGTTCTATAAACTAGACCAAAGAAGAAAGAAAATGTACTCACTGCTACGCCTGCCCTAAAGTGCTGCAGCTGTCACTGCTATTAGAGTAGTCAGTCCTAATAGTTCATGGTGTTGCCTTCATTTTATAATGAAATTTTAGAATTGTGTTTGTTCTTGTTATTAAGATGCTATTGTAGTATTCAGCCTGGCTGTTTCGGTGAACACTATAATGGACTTTTAATGAGCAGAAATACCCAACTTGAAGAGGACAGTTTGGACTGCCCCTGTCCCTTTCATTCCTCTTCAAAACAGACTTCTTGTGAAGTTTGCAATGGGGGGAGGGATTGTTCTTATTCTAAGTTTACATGTTTGCTCTTTGAATAAAATTTTTGGTGTCAAATTGATCCAACTTTTCTGTTTACTTATTTCTTTTCAGTGTTTGTTTGTTTGTTTGTGAAAAGGTTTCTCTGTGTAGCCCTGACTATCCCCGGAAGTTACTACATGTACTAGGCTGGCCTTGAACTCTCAAGAGATCTGCCTGCCTCTCCCCCTAGAGCTCTGGGATCAGAAATGTGCATCACCACACCCGACTCTTGAACTTCTTGAGCTTCTGCTTGCACTGCCTCCACCTCCAGAGTGCGAGGATAACAGGTATGCCAGCACATCTGGTGTGTGCAGTGGCGGGACTCAAACCTAGGGCTCCTTTATGTGTGCTGGGCACTAGGTGAGCACTGTACCAAATGAGCTACCTCCCTAGCCTTAAGTTCATTTACTCTTTCATTTTATTATGTTGTTGCTTTTTGGTTTTTTTGTTTTTGTTTTTCGAGACAAGGTTTCTCTGTAGCTTTGGAGCCTGTCCTGGCACTAGCTCTTGTAGACCAGGTTGGTCTCGAACTCCCTCCTGCCTCTGCCTCCCGAGTGCTGGGATTAAAGGCGTGCGCTACCACCACCTGGCTCATTTTATTATGTATATGGGTGTTCTGCCTGAATATATATCTGTATGCCACATTCTAGTCTGATGCCAGAGGAGGTCAGAGGAGGATGTAAGATGCCTTTGAACTGGAATTGGAAATGGTCATGAGCCACCATTTGAGTGCTGGGAATCGAACTCCTATGCTCTGTAGGAGAAATCAGTGCTCTTAACTGCTAAGCCATCTTTCCAGGCCCTCATTTATTTCTTTATATAAGTGGGCCAGTTTTAGTTTGTTCAGATGTCTAGTCTAAATCCACTTATTTGTGTTGGAAGTGTTTGCCTGCATGTCTTGCGCACTACGTGCCTGCCTGATGCCTGGGGAGGCCAGAAAAGGGCATCGGATCCCCTGGAACTAGATTTACAGACAGTCATGGGCCTCCAAGCGGGTGATGGGGGTTGAACCCGGGTTCCCTGGAGGAGCAACCAATTCTCATAACTACTGAGCCCTCTCTCCAGCCCCTGTAATTTCACTTCTAAGGGAAGAGGAATTCGGCACACTTTGCTGCAGAATTCCACTCCGAATCTCCATTTCTTGTTGCATGTCCTCGTCGTTTCCCAGCCGCCTCTCTCGGGTGTTCCCAGAAGGCACAGCAAGTGAAAGGGGAGGAACAAAGGAAGTTAGGCAAAGCTACTGTAATCAAGACAGAAAAATGTGGCATAAAGACACACATAGGATCCTCCAGAAAAAAATAGAACTGTATTTATATATAGATGATCAGTGTTCTTTCCAAAGGCGCCAAGGCAGGTCAAATAGCTCTAGAGCAGTGGTTCTCAACCTTCCAAGTGCTGCGACCCTTTAATTCAGCTCCTCTTGCTGTGGTGACCCCCAACCGTAAAATTATTTTTGTTGCTCCTTCATATCTGTAATTTTGCTACCGTTATGAATCCTAACGTAAACGTGTTTTCCAGTGGTCTTAGGAGACCCCTGTTAAACGGTCTTTTGACCTTCCCCCAAAGGATCGCAACCCATAGGCTGAGTTTCGCTATTGTAGAATAGGATAATGATTTGTGCATGCGTGCGCATTTACGCATGCGTGCGTGCGCATTTACGCATGCGTGTGTGCGCATTTGCGCGTGCTGGTGCGCATTTGCGCGTGCGCACACATGTGCATGCGAGCACGCGCGCGCGCACACATGCACGCATGCTCTCTCGTTTTGTTCTCGACTGACGATATATTCTCTCAGCATTGGCAATTTACAAGAGGTTCTCATTATTGTTGGTCCATCAGAGAATTTTCTAAAACCTTGCTACCCAAAGCATGTCTTACACACGGGCATCCACTG